GTCTAGAATTAGCGATCCAAACTTATAAACCAAAAAACAAAATATTCACGAGACCGATCCTGCTTTACCAAAAGTAATAAATAATAAATGAATAAAAAAGCGCATTTGCTTGCCAACGTGAGAACATGTCTTGTTATTGTTCTTGGCATCATTTTATGGAAAGTTAGACTAATGAATTTGTAGACGAAAAGCCATAAACAGTTAGTGTTTTTAGTGTGTGTTGAGTTAAGAGGATATGTACGTCCGAGCCTATAACGATCATATTGGCAAAACAAAACAAAGCAAAACAAAAAACAAGAAGAAGAAGACAAATAACAAAAAGCCTTCCTTTCCTTCCTGACCCTTTCCTCTTTTTCTTTTATTCTTTGTATTGTCTATTTGTCTTTTATAGGTCATGTCTCAGGTTAGGTGCAAGTCCATGATTGATATATTTTCCCATTTTTATATGATTGTTTTATTTGTATTGTCTACTTGCACTATTTTTATTATTCAGTGCGCACGTAAACCAAACAAGTCGGGCAGGTGAAGTAAATCTATCTTTGTTGCCCAAACAAATCTTTGTCAACTTTAAGGTTTATTTTTTTTAATTGAACTTTTCATGTAGAGTTTAGGGTATCATAAACTTGATTTTAGATTATTTTTATGCTTGAATTATAAAATTTGACACTTTGTTGTCCTCTACCATTATCTATTCAAATGAATACAGCTTGTTTCCTTTCTTTTTCAGCCATAGGGCATGCAAGTGGACACGTTTTAGGGGATTTCTAGTTAGGTTTTTAAAGTTTAAGGGAAAAATGACTCCAAAAACCAAATTCAGAATATCATATACCTAGGCAAATATTTTAAAGGCAAAAGTAGTCTTTTAAATCTTGATTAAAAAATTCACTTAAATACCCTGTGACTGAACGAAACACATTCAGTGCAACAAATAATAGTTTAACAAGTAATGCATTAATGAGATATCCAATTTAAAAGATTTAAGGATAAAAATGATTTAAATTAAGTTTAAAATATCTGCCATATCCTATACAAAAAATTAAGAGTAAAATAAGTCTTAAAAATATACTTAGTTAAAGGTTTTGTAATAAAAGTTTCCAATCCATTTTTTTTTAAATGCTTTCGTATAAAATAGTCACGTTCGATAGTGGGCCAGTACGACAAATTTTACCCCATCAGTGGCATAAAAAGAATCACACCTGTAGGAATATACGTCTACAATAAATTTAATTAAGATATTTTTGAAGACGGAATATTTTTCTATTTTGGCAGTTTCTAGTTGTGCTTTAAGCTTTTAAAAGTATTGCTGACGTTATGGATATTCAAAGATTCAAATCAAACCATTAGTTCGTCAGTGCGGTGCAGGCAAAGGTCCCAAACAGAAAATATTATGATAAATGAACCTCATAATTATATATCATATCATGTTAAATCTTTCAAATTTGAACAAATTCTATTTAATGTTTTGCAAAACACCATCAATATAAAACAATAAAAAAAATAGAAAACATACCATTCACAAGAGGGATTAGACTACCTTTTGAATTCATGTAAACACACAATGCATGCCCCTCTAATTCTCTTAATATTTTAATATATTATGTATGTGCAGGAATGTTCTCTTTTATTTCACTTTTTATATGTACTATGACTTTATGGTTCAATCAAATATATTATTTAAATAAATTTATCGATTAAAAATAAAAAAGAGCTCAATGCACTGAAACATAATTAAATATCAATTATATGGTCTCATCAACATTTTAAATTTTTTTTAAATTTTAAATTAATTAATACGGTTTGAATCATGTTAGAGGGTGGGACCTTATTGAAAACTAACCCTTGAAAAAAAAAAAAACAGCCACCAATAGGTCAATATACATGTAAAAAAATTCATAGCAAATTATGGGATATTTAAATGCCTATAAATATATTTATTTTAATTACTGTGCGAATTTGAATGATGGTTGCGGACAAGTTTTACGTTTCAAGTTAAACTCCATTGACTGTTAAATTATGATTAAAATGATTTACAATGAATTTGACGTTTTATATAATGACTAAAGGAGGTCCTATTACCTATATATATTTAATTATATTGTATAATAAATTTATACACTATATCTACAAAAAAATAAAACTTATTTGTTTTGGCCAAACCAAAAAAATTAATACAATACAGTATTAGTTGAAATATTTTTATATGATGTAATTTTATATAAAATGGAATGGTATTGTCATATCTCTATACCTGCTACTCAATTTAAGAAGGAAAAATTATGCATAGGTCTTGTAGAATATATATAAATAAATAAGTCTTATAAATTTAAAAATTACAGTTAAATTCCTCAGGACAATTTTCTTAGGACATGGGTATAATTTGAAATTGAGGTATATAAGCAATACTGCCTCTATTAAAAATATTGAATTTATAGCTACAAAATAATTAAAGTAATAGTCATAAATTATTGATAAAATAATTATAATAATTAGTATTAAACTTTATTAATAATTCATGGTTAATTTAACTATTAGATATATAAAGTCGTAAAATGTTAAAGTGATAATTGTAAATTTCTAATGAGATAGTTATATACAATTAGTATTAAATTTATATGCATAATTAATTTAATTATTAGATATATGAATTATAGTTGTAAAAAATTAAAATAATAATTATAATTATAAATGAAGTAGTTGTAAATTATTTAATTCATGAAATATATTTTTAATAGAGACATTATTATTTTTATACCTCAATTTTAAATTACATTCAAGTTTTAAAAAATCTTGTTGTGATTTCTATATTTTGTAAAATTTATTTATAAATAAATTTTTGTACGTAACTTTACCATTTAAGAAAGAGAAGATATGTAACACTGCATATGTTCTGCGTGAGGGCGTGTGGAGAGAAATTATAACCATATTCGTTTAAAGAGTAAAAATTAATTATAAAATTATTTAAAAATACAGGAAAACAAGATGATATATATTATATTCTTAATGAGTATGTTTGATAAGATAAAGAGAATAAAGTAATTTAAATTTTTGTTTGTTTTCTTAAGGAACCCATGAACAATATATCTTGGTTCTTGGTCTTATTGTTTTTTTCCCCCCCAAATCAACTAGCTATTCTATACCTAGAAGCTAAATCGAATTTTGACTAATCAAGATTGGGCTGAAATGCTTAATCTAACTCTAAGTATAAAAACAAAATGTTTAATGTAACACATTGAATTTTGACGGTAAATCTCTTTTAACAAATATTTAATATAATTGTATACTCAAAACTTGTAATTGCACATACAGGATTCAAACTTAAAACCAAACCCCTCTTGAGCCATAGTATAGGCACTTCTGTTAGTAAAATCTCTTCTTAATTACCATGTTAGACGAATAAATGGGCAGCTTATTCGCTTCGTCTCTCGATTCTTTCTTCTTCTACTTTTTCCTCCCCAAAATTCCCTGGATGAATAATTTTGGATATCTTGCATATATACCACAACATTCAAACAACCATATAATCCCACGCGTGATTGATCTTCGATGCCCGAATGTCAACGATTTTAAAGCCCACTTTTGTCGATTTGTTGTGAAAATATATTTAATTGTTTAATTAATCTCTTTATACGTCACACTTTAAGTAAGAAAAGACATAAAGCTGATTAGATTTTCCAACTTCCCCTAAAGCAACGTGGCCTGTGATATGGCTCGGTATCATTTCACGAGATTACTGTGTATCCTTTTACGTAAACTTTGTAACGAAATTGCATTAATTATACCCATAACTAGTAGTTTTTAATTTCATTTTCTTATATATATCACACACACACACACACTATATAACCTGTGACGGATTTGAAGTCATGCTTTACAAATAATTTTTTTTTAAAAGAAGGTTCACTTAAGTGCTCCCCTCCATAAGTAGAAGAAGAAATTTTGGTCCCAAAAAATATTCCTAGATCCGATATTGATTGATAAACAGAATCAGCAGTGCTAAGTCTTGCTTATCTTTAACTGGCTAGAAAAGAAAATTCAATTTGCATGCATGGCACTGAAAATTAATGGAGATATCTAATATAATATTTCCGGCTCATCAACTGACTAAATAAATAATTAATATACCAAAGAACAACTTGACATCACAAAGATTCACAATCCAAAATCCTACCTTCACCCAAAATTTGTTGAGATGCCATATCTATATCTATATCTATATATATATATATATATATCAACTTTCTTTTTCTTCATTCATGATCTCTGTTGATTGACTTTTGTTCTTGTCCCATCTGACTTTCTTTTCCTGCCTGTAAAGGGGGGAAAAAACAGATAAAACTTAATTAAACTCTTCCAATATTAGCCACGGATGTGTCAGGCTATATCGTAAAATAAGAGTCATGCACAATTACATTATTTTGTATCATATCAGCAGAGTTTAATTTGATAGTTTATGGTATTTTTCAGTTAATTTAGATATTAAGTTGGAAAAAGAGATAAACCTACCTACCTTCTTTCTACTCGTCACCTTCCTCATGTTTCTTACATCAACCTGATAGTGGCCCTTGACTTCGTCAAGTTCATCTACGTGTTTGATACTCCTCTTTGACTTGGCAGAAGCAAAAAGCCACGTGGCGCTCATCTGCTTGTTAAGCATTCGTGCTGCGTAGTATGGGATCTTGAACCTCTTCGTCTTCTGAGACCTGAAGCGACTCCTGATGAATGCTAAACAATCCATCAAGCTTTCCTTGGCGTGGCCTTTCATGTCAAAAGCTTGTGATCTTCTCCACAAGCTCTTACCATGAGGACATGACCCGTGTGACAGACTCAGAGCTCGAGTGGCATCGCTAATGGCTGCATCTGCATCTCTAAGAACCAAATAACACTGAGCTCTGTTGCTGTGAAGCACTATCCTCTCTTTCCTTGCTTTTACTGGACACACATCAATGGCTTCTGAATACTTCATCGCAGCTTCTTCAATCTTCCCTGACCTAAACCTCTTATTCCCTTCTTGTTTCAGAACACGTGCCAGTGTCTCTTTCTCTCTGATTTCTTGCTCTCTCATTAGACTCTCTCTCTTCACTCTGTCCACTTTCAAGTCCCATATTTCCCTCAAGGCTTTCTCTGCTTTCTCGCTCTTCAATCTCAGTTCACAGTACTTGATTTTATGGTAATCTTGGAGCAACGTACGCACTATTGATTCTCCTACTTTCAATTTCCCGCGAACTCCTTTGTGTTCAACCAAATCAGCAAGAACTGCAGCTACAGTGTCAATTACTTTATATCTTGTGATTGAGTCTTTGAGAAGTTGTAGAAGACTGTCAATAGCCAGGTGTTGTCTATCATCAGAAGATCTTGAGACAATACAAAGATTCTCTACTACTTCCTCGACGTCTGCTATACTTTCTCTTCCTATTTTTGTGTGACACAGAGTTCGAACAAGTCCTATTCCAGAAGGAGATTTTGGGTTCGCCAATCCACCCCACATTGCGCAAACATCCTTCAAGAATTTTTTCTTGCAGATTAATCTGAGAGATCTTTCTTTGCATGCAAAGCAGTCTAGGAGATACAAGGACCAACACTGAACTTGACTTGCCCATTCCTCTGCCTTTCTGTTCTCTAATTCCAGCCCTCCAAGCCCTCTTGTCAGCAAATTCCTATGATACTCCAATCTCTGGGATTCCTCTAAGCCGACAAATTTATCATGTACCTCGTACAGGCACGTGGAAGCTATGTGAATGGCTAGTTCTATGATTTCTTCCTCATGTTCTGCTACGGCTTCAAAAGTTGCTTCATGTCTCGCCAAGTGACCCAATGCTCGAAGTGATACTCTCTGTTCAACCCAACTGATCTTACCTCGTAGGAGTTCTATTAATGGCCCGACAACGTTGGACTTAACTGCTTTTTCAGCAAACTTAGCTTTGTTCATGGTATAGGAGCCGATGATATGTGCTGCATAATATGGGATGTATATGTTCTGGGAATTTAGAAGCCAGCCCTTGTTTCTGAGGCCCTTATGGATGAGTTTGGCCATGCATCTGAATATGCCCAAACATGGAAATTCTGGGTCGTTTGGCTTAGTCATGGCGATTTTCCAAAGGCTGCTCAAGGCCAAGACATGTTCTTGGTCATCCCTAAGAGGCATTTGTTTGAGGCAATGAGAAATTTTAGCTCTTCTGACCAAAGGGTCTGTTTCAGACATGGTGCAGAAGAAACAAGAACAGTCTGTGCATGTAGGCGTAGAAGGTAGAAGTTTCTGAATTCTCTTGGAGTTTGAAATCTCTGGGATTTGAGATTCCATGGCTGACTGATACGAGGTGAAATGTTTTTTGGGTCCTTTGGGCCTATGAGGCACTAAAATATAAAGATTAACTTACCTACTAGTTCGACAGTACTGTACAGATCGTGCGTGTCACTGATTCTGTACATGGGGAGCATGATTGCTTCAAGCAATAGATCCAAGCTCGAAGTAAATCAGATAGAGATGAGGAAAAAGAACCGTAAAAGCTCAAAACATATATGAAAGGACTGCTTCCATGAAAATGATGATTATGCTATGCTAGCATCCAGAGAGCAATGAGTTGATGAACAATCAAAGCCCTAAACAGCACGTTTTATTCTACTTACCCCAAAAAGGAAAATCTCTAAACAGCATCATGTATAGCTAGACCCTTCTTTCTCTGTTAGCTTTAAACTGGAGGATGGACCGCGAATCTATCCAGAACTTTTAATGGACATTTGCATATATTCTGAGATGAGATATACAAGAAGATTTGAAAAGGCTGAAGTTTCAAGTTTGGAAAAGAAGAGGGAAGCAAAGAGACTAAAAGATCAACAAGGTTGCAATGATGGCTATGGATTTAGATCTCTTGGGTATGAAGTATATAATAAGGGCTGAATCTGGTCCCCTCCATAAACAAGTTCTACAAGCTTCCTTATCATCTGGTTTCCAACTCAAAAAGTGACTCACTCTGAAATATAATACTAAGGCAAGTACAAGTGGGCATGTCTCAAGGAAATGCGGCTACCATTGTTTTTGTTTGTAGAGTGTAAACTTAGCCTAAAACATGAGATGTGCATATGCATGAGCTTTTCAAAATGAAGTTACCCGCTAATGAACTTTGACTATGCTCTACTAGAATTGTCCTTTGCAAAAAGATTTTATCTGTATCACATTCAAAATGAGATATTATGTTTTAGCCCAATTTAAATTGAGAGGGAAAAGGTTAAGGTACATTTTGACTTTTTATCGTTGTAATGGAAAAATATTATGCAAGAGAAAAGGCTTGATAATTCTCAGAAAACTTGGATGAATTGAAATGACTAAAAAAGGGTCCTATAGCTAAAGACAAAGGAAGTATACTATGTAGTTCTCATATCAAAGGCTGAGCACCGAATGTCTTTTTTTTTTTTTAAGTAAGCTTTAGTATCTCATTTTTTTGACCTAAACTAATTTAATTAACAACTTGTGGATATCTCTTAGAAAGATATATTTTATATTGAGAATTTAATCGTTGCTATTAGATCTCAAAATTTTTAACCGGCCCCCTTACCAGTTCATTCAAGCACCTGGTGGTTTGGTTAGAGTGATGCATTTGGCAACGTGTGATAAGCCATGATTAGGGGTGTATTTGGGGAAGCTTTATGACGTGAGTTCGTTGATTTGGAATGTCATGGATAGTGATGAATAAGAGATAAGCGTGCAGGGTCTTCAGATTTGTGGGCACGTGGTCTTCTACTACAGCGGCAGCTTAACGTGGTTCAAGAAAGTCCTTTTATTTAAATTTTAAGTTCAGGCTTTTCTGGAGCATTAAAATTCAACAGCTTTCTCCATGGAAAGTTGCTTTTGTTAGTTTAGTTTGGCAAATCCTTTGGCCAGCTAGGAAAATTACAGATCGCATATGAAACAGGATGACAACTATCTCAGAAAGAATAATCCTGCTTGCATTGAACATTATGTTTGCAAGTTGAAGTTATTTTGAACAACTGAAGCATAAACTCATATTTGAAAAGCTCCTTGAAAATTCTCATGGGAAGAGTCCAAGGGCAAAGTGGTAATCTCACTTTTTGTTTTTTGGAAATCTGGTTAAGCTGTGTACAGGCCTAGTGACTTTCCTTGTCGGCTTCAAGCCCGTCTGGGGATGGGCCTCACATGAGGTTCCGTCAGGCTTCGGTGAAATTGAGCTTGGTACATTGGCCTTGGGGTAGTGACAACTCAATCGATCCAGCTCATTCTTTTTTCCGTTAACATGAGAACTTCTTGAAGAAAGAGATTCTCAGACTTCTAACACAGGACGTTAAGGTCCAAGGATCAGGCCTCTTTTCTCTTTTGTGGCGAGTTCTGGAAAGAAATTTTCTTCTTTCCCGGGGAAGAAAACAAATGGATTGGGAAAGGGAAAAAAAAAAAAACAGAGAAAAGCTTAGTGGGATGATCGAAGTGTTGGTTCTTTTTTTTTTTTTTTTGGTTTGGGATATGAATAAAGAATAGTGTTGGTTTGAGCTTTGAATCGTTTAAAAATTCGAGCATTTGAAGCATCAGAATAAAGAAAATAATTTGTTCCTTGAGCAACTCTTGGGGTTTCATCTTCCTTAGTCTTGAAGTAGGAATCTCTTCACATATTAATGATGATTAACAACATCAAAACATACGCGAAAAAGATGAAAGCAAAGGCAAATTAAACAAGGGGAAAAAAGGTGGATCGGGAATAATTTTGTGTTACTGTCCCAAATAAAGAAAAATGAAACGAAGGAGTTGCTATATGAAGGACACATAAGATTTCCCTTCTAAACCAAGTAAAGAACAGCAGTCCCATCAGAATGATAATTTTATTGGGGGGAAAAGGGGAAGAGAGAAAGCAATGCTACATAGAATTTCTTTTTATTAAGAAAAACTAAAGTTGTGGGTGGTGGGTGAATGTTGGCCTTTTATGATGTGGCTTGTGGGGCAAAACAAAAGTTGTAATAAGAGAGGACAAACCTTCAAAGTATAAAGGAAAGTATCCACACAACACAAGCTTAAGCTTGATGTTCATTAAAAAAACTAAAAGGAAATCTTAAGCTTTGGGCATTTCTTCATCACAGCATCTCCCTGGTACAACTACAAATATTGCCCCTCCGAGCCCTCTCTGCTGTATCTTCTCGCCCACCGCTACTGATTTACAATGCAAAATTCATATACTTTTAATAAAAGGCATAACTTTATCTTTTATGATTTTTAAATAGAACATTAATGAAAGTCATTGAATGAGATCCCTTGATTAATAGTATCATTAAAAGCTTTGTTAATGATAGAACATAATAATATCGTTCAATTTATATAGTTAACCCCATCTAATGAGATAAGGTGTGTTGTTGTTGTATAAGAGCTAATATTATAAATGATTAAAACTATAAAAATCGAGAAATGAAATTAAGATTTAACTACAAAAAGATCAAGATTAAAAAATATTTATACGACAAAACTTTTATTGCTATGAGTATTAAAAGAAAAGTAGATGTCTATCTTTCTTACCACTTCATCTTCATCTCCTCCCATGAAACTCTCACTTTCATGAGTGTTAATTATCATTTATTTGTGTTTATCATTTATATAACTTTTAATGTGTAAAACTATGCTTATAAATAGGGTACATTACTTGTATTAAAAGGCACAATAATTTTGAAGAAATTATCTCATTCTCTTGTCTCTACCTTTTCTCCCAATACCTTTATTTTCTAGTTGTTTAATTTTATAACATTGATAAATTTTTCAAGTAAAAAAAAAAACTCTTATAAATTTGGAAGCTCCAATGGCAAAGTTAGAACCAGAAGCTAAGATATGCAAGATAATTCAATTTAAAAATGAATAACTTTTTTAAAAATAATAAATACACTAGGATTAAAATTGTAATAATATAAGTATATTGATCATAATTCTTTTTTTAAAAAAATTATATTGAATAAATTGGTATGATCTTTTATGAAAATATACTTTTTATAATTTATCTCGATCATTAAAATATTATATATTTAATAAGTTTTTGAATATAATTATTTTTTATTTAGTCAAGAGAGTATAAAATATTAAGAATAGGACATATAAAGTGATAAAATTTACATATAATACTTATAATTTTTTTTCCAAAATGAAATGCACCCCTCACTACATTGGAGTTGGATTTCCTCCTCTACAAAGGAGGGGACATTGCAGATATAGACCATTAAATTAAATTTGATAATTTATATTTAATAATTTTTTAAAGCATAGATTTAATTCAAAAGATTTAAATTGGAGTAGAGGAGTAGAGGGAAAACGTAGTGGAGGAAAGCTGAACCCCAATGTAATGCCACCACTAACAATATATATATACATGTACATATATATATATAATGTTAAAACAATATAAAAAATTTTGGAGAACCATGACCCTTGTTAGTTCCCCTTTCCTCTACCCCTAGCACTAAAATATATCAAATTAAAATTTAAAATTTAAATTATATATTAACTAAAACAAACATGAGTAATAAATACCCTCATTATTTAATTAAGCAAGCAGTTGAGGGTTCGTGAATTTAAATTCAAACCTTTACACACACATATGTAATAATTTAGTTAGAGTTGTTAGTAATTTGAGGGAGGCATTCTATGCTATTGGGCGTCATATCCTCATCCCTTTTTTTAACAAAAAAAAAAGTATGAGCTGAAACGGTTAAAATTCATGAACTTAATATTAACTTAACTGAGTCAAATTTAAAATATTTGGAGAGTAACATAAAAGGCACGGTAATTAAGGAAGCATTAAGGGGCCCCCAAGAGGGTGGTGGAGTGGCCCACAAGTTTCCCGCAATTATTTTGGCTTGCTCTCGTGGCGGACGGTGATTGGATTATCATGCAGTTGTGCCTCATCTTGGAAATCCAGCTGTATCAACAGCATCAACTGCTCCTGAGGCCGCAAAACACCAAATCAGCGCTAGAAAGCTATAAACAAGACAGTGCTAACGGGCAGTGAGGGCCGAAATGAAATCGTGTTAGCTGACGTGTCCATCTACTGGTGAATTCTACCTCATCACATGCTCCTAATGGGCCGTAAGGGCCCAAAGACAGGCTACAGTACTTTTGTTTGGATCTTAGTGCGTGGCCCCCAAAAAAACGTGATCCAACGGCTAGTGGTGACCCATATGTCTGTCGGATCCACTTTACATCGGCGGTCCAGATGAACCGGCACTAGTCCGTTTTGTTCTTGCTTCTTGCTGGTGACAACCTCATCGTCTATATATCAACCTTCGGCTACTTTTCTCCACGCTCGTTTCTCTCTCTTGCACACGAAACTCGAGAAAATGGACCGGAAAAGTATACTGTCTCTCGCATTGATCTGCATTGTAGTCGCCGTAGTCGGAGGTCAATCTCCGGCAGCTGCGCCATCCAAGTCACCATCCACGCCGGCTGCTACGACACCCGCCGCGTCACCAGCGGAACCGCCATCGAAAACCAAATCACCAGTTCCGGCTGCTTCTCCCAAATCTGCGCCTCCTGCTTCATCTCCTAAAGCTTCATCGCCAGCTGCATCTCCATCGAAGGCTGCGGCGCCGGCTCCGGTGAGTAAAACTCCAGCATCGTCACCTCCGGCAGCGACTCCCGCGAGCTCGACGCCGCCGGCACCGGTTCCAGCGAGCTCTCCCCCTGCTCCTGTTCCAGCGAGCTCTCCTCCTGCCCCAACGCCGACAGCTCCTCCCGTGAGTTCTCCCCCGGCTCCGGCAGTGGAGGTTCCGGCGCCTGCTCCGAGCAAGTCAAAGAAGAAGGTTAAGAAGCACAATGCACCAGCACCGTCGCCGTCATTGATGAGTCCTCCTGCACCACCGACAGGAGCTCCGGGACCCAGTGAGGCTGCCTCCTCTCCTGGCCCAACCTCTTCCGAGAACGTTGAGGTACGTTCTCTCAATTTGTCCTTATCTGCTTTTTTCTTCTCGCTTTCCTTTAAAGTACGCCGGACACTACAAGGCGCAATAGATCTGGAGCATAGGCTGGGCAGTCCATCTTGTTTTAGCTCC